CTACAATTTGGCAGTTCAAATCCCACCAGGCTCAAGGTTGACTCAGCTTTCCATCCTTCCAAGGTGGGTAAAATGAGGACCCAGATTGTTGGGGGCAACAGGCTGACTCTGTAAACCGCTTAGAGAGGGCTGGAAAGCAATATGACGCGGTCTATAAGTCTAAGTGCTATTGCTATTTCATGAGGACCTAACCCTACTCACTTAAGATTAGGGTTAGGTCCCCATGAATTCAGACAACAAAGTGAACATCACCAACTGGTTTATAGTATATTGCTATGTTTAGGAGGGCTCTGACTTTTCTAGCCAGTCCTATCTATGTTTCCTGGTATAATACATGAGGAAATCCCATAGCGGGCAAACCCACTTAGGGTGAGGCCCCCATGAATTCAGATTGCAAAATGGACGCCGCCAATGGATTCGCAGCTCATTGGTATGCTAAGGAGGCCCCTGACTTTTCCAGCCCATCCTTTCTACGGGATGGGTAGACTCATTTCTCCCTATTCTGCGACACAAAAGGGATTGGTTTCCTTTTTTACGATCTGTGGGCTTCAACTCCCAGAACTCCCCAGCCAGCCAGCCAGCCAGAAGTCCACTCATGTTGAAGTTGCCAAGGCTGAGAAACATTGGGAATGGAATGAGGAGGGGGACTCTTGATAGCCTATCCTTTGAGGTGCCCCCATCCCAATCCTTTTGACCTACTTGTAAGACTGCCGCGTCCCAATTTTGAAAAGTTATTGTTCCTTTCTTTCTAGATACGGCTGAAGAAATCGATTGACGATAATGGAGTTGTGCTAAGGCACCTCTCAAGGCTGAAGTTGGCAAGCCAACCTCTTGAGAACTTTCTCCAGCATAGATCATAGAAGAGGCAAGAGTGAATTGCCCGGTGTTCTTCCTTGAAGCCTACAACTCAAAGCTTCTTACAGACTCTTGCCTTCTCCACAGACCTGGCCCTCCCACCGTGGACTGAGAAAGAGGCTGGAACTCAACTTAGTCCTTGCCGGCTCTATCCTTGCCCCAAGCTTGAGATAGCCAAGGTCCTTCTTCATCCAATGTATCCAAGGCTACTTATTCTTCTCCCTGTTGACCTTACAGGGCAAAAACTGATCTCTATCCTCCCAGGGATCATAATTTAGATCCACACAAAGATCCCACAGTCAGGCTAGACAACATGATCCAGCTCAGAACTTCAAGTTTGACTGTAGTTCTTCTCTTCTACCTGCAATCTCCCCTTCCCCCATGGGAATTTGCCCGCTGGGTTTTAAGCCGCTGCCTCTGGGAACAGTTTTCTTCTCTCGCTGCACCCAAGAAGCAAAATTAGTCTGGGATTTGGCCAAGAGACTATCTTAGTATCTCTGGCATCCTGGCAAAGTTTATGTCACATGCATCACGGCCAATTTGCCACTACCAACTCCCCGCAAGACAACTCTCTGCAGGACAAGAGTTATACTCATATCAAAGAAATGGTGGAATAGAATAATTAAAGAACGGGGGCAAAAGGAGACGCAAAATGAAATGCGAATGATAAAAAGTAAAGTGATTTTTTTAAATTTATTTTAAATAATTAAATTGAATTGTTCAATAGTCCTGCAGTGAGTTGTCCCACAGCAAGTTGGCCATGGCAGCAAATTTTTTTTCGAGTTGTCCATTTCTGGTGTCAGACTGCCCCGATGCGATCCTTTAGGGAAGTAAAACCCTCGACTCCATTTGGTTGAAGTGAAAAGAACTTTTAATAAAAGGCTTTTACAGTTCGCCATTCCTTCCCCTCAAGTCCAGTTCATCGTTGACCAATCCGGTATTGCCACAATGTTTTGAGAAAGGCTGGGGTGTTTTGGGGACCCTGGAATTTCACCCCGTCCCCCCCAGGACAAAAGGCCTTGAAGATCCCAGGCACAACCAACCTGAACTACTGTGCTCTTCTTCACCTGTCATTCCCCGCTCCCTAATTTCCACCGTTGATGTGTACAGGTGTTCATTACCCAATTGGTTCCTCCTTCCTTTCTCCTCCCTTCCCTTTTTAATGGCAGGACGCCAGCGAGGTGCCAAGCCGAAGTGTGCCTCAAAACTTTTTTTCTGCTGGGAACTTTCAAAAACTGGGGTGCATCAAAGATAGCACAAGGGAAACAGATGCTTGACCTGAGGGCACACATCTTCTTTTATAGCCATCAGTAAACACTGTCAACATTAGGAGTAAGGTTCCTTTTTAAACACAATAACTTAGAAGAAAAATAACAAAAGTGCCTTGAGGAGCACTGGATGTCTGCCTTTCGGCAAGAGACACTTGTGATGCACAAAGAAACCTCGCGGGGAATTGAACGGACTTCTTTCTGCAAGCTTTCTTTCGAAATAAAAATTAAAACGTCAACAACGACCAATGGAGATGAAAAAAAAAACAAACATCTGCCTTCGGTAGACTTTGCAGATACGTTCATGTGTGCCTTGAAATCAATCCCACTTCATGGAGTGGGGCTTACTTTTAAGTGTGCCTAAGATTAAAGCCGAAATACTTGGTCAGAGGTCTCTGGGTTTTTTTCCCCCCAAGTGTCATGCCCCTGGTGTGGAGACTGACTCTGAGGGAGAGGAGGAACAGCCGACAGGGAGTGTAAGTGTAGCTCTGGAGGTTGTGGAGGAGTTTGAGGAAGGGCAGAGGCCAGCTGGGCAATCCAAGGTGGACCCAGGCCCATCCCCTCTCCATCCTAGGGCATGCAGGGACGAGTGGATAAGGGAGAGACGTGGTCTACTGAGGAGGAGAGGGCCTTGATCCTCTTCATGGGCTGCAGCTGTGACAACTGGATAAGAGGACGGACATGCGTACAGGCGAGTGCTGGAAACAAAGCATGGAAATATCTCTAGTTTATGGTTCCTCTCTTGAGTTTGGTGTCCTTCCCAGTGTGTGTTCTGTTATCCGTGGACGTCCTCCATCCCTTATCTTGCCTGGTTTGTGTTGTTTTGTACTCTTTATAATTTAAACAGCATTTTCCCCTTTCTGGTAACTGCTCGTGTGGGAGTTTTTTTGTCTCCAGTCAAGGATATTCGGAGCTTGGAAGCAAAGTGAAGGAATAAAAGGGGCTTCACCTGTTTTCTGTGACTGTGTTTATTTTGTATCCCACCCTGGGTCATCACACCAAGCCTCAAAAATGTCAGTCTTTGATTCTGAGCACTGTAGAAGTTTATGCTCTTTTTGTTTATGTCTTCTGTGGCTCTAAAGAGTATCTGGAGGAATACTAACAGGGAATTCCAATCATGTTGTTTGACATGGTAAGGGGGCAAATCTGGAACCACCAGGAAAACAATTCAAGGAAAGATAAAATTAAATTAGAACGGAGACTACGGGAGGATGCATAGAAGGAGAATGAAAATCTTACAGGCCCTCCACTTCCTTCACATTAGAATTCCTAAGACCATCAACCGGAGCCAGGTAGAAAAACTACAGCTTTCAGAATGCATATTTTCAGTGTGCAGGAATTTTATCTCAAGTTCCTGAGGTCACCAAGTAGAACTAGTGCTATGAATGTTAATACAGCCAAGAAACAGAGTCTTTAGCATCCACAAGATGGAGGCATGAAAAGGATTAAATTCCCAACACTTCCCCAGATTGGCTGAGCTCCTCTCCTCTTGTAAAGTTTCCCTTGTCCAGCCACATCCAGCTCTAAGGCATGGTGCTCATCTCCAATTTTTGGGCAAAGGAGCCAATGTCGGCCATTTTCCATGGTCATGTGGCCAGCATGACTATTATATATGCCAAAGGCACACAGAACACTCTTACCCTCCCAGCGAAGTGGTACCTATTTATCTACTCCCGTTTGCATGTTTTCAAACTGCTAGGATGCCAGGAGCTGGGGCAAGAACAGGCGTTCACTCCATCCTGTTGGTGCTTGGATCTCGAACCTGGGCTATCAGAAGCTCAGCATCTTTAACTGCTGAGCGATCGCACCCTCTTCTCTATTTCCTTGTCCACTCACATGGCCAATTCAACATGAGAGAGCAGCCAACTGATTCTCCCTTGATGGACCCTCTTACAAATATTGGAGAAGAGGAAATCCCGAAATCCCAAAGTCCTTCCTCAAAAAAAAAGGCATCGAGGCAACAAGAATCTTAACGAAGCTTCCATGGAGTGGGGAATATCAGAAACGCAGAGCAATTACGCCTATTTCAGTTTTGACAATTATCTAATGCATAATAAGTAACATGTTGAGGAAGATGTTGAAAAATGCTACACGTGGAGTGTGAAAGCAAGAGGGGAAAAAAAATTGGGTCCACCCTGTAAACCAGGGATCTCCAACCTTGGCGACTTTAAGACTTGTGGACTTCATTTCCCAGAACTCCTCAGGCAGTCATGATGACTGGGGAATTCTGGGAGTTGAATTCCACAAATCTTAAAACCACCCAAATTGGAACTCCCTGCTGTAAATGGAATGAGAGTGTAGAGCATGAATCTAATAGCTATGCTGATTTTTTTTTTTAAAAAAAAATCCAATTATTACTACTTAACAGGACTTTTTACTCTTGGGGAAAGAGGAGACTAGCTTATGAAGTTGCACATCAGGGCTATGTTTGCACTTCAAACCACATTTTTTTAGAATCAGACGGATAGCCCTAGGCTACAGTGGTCTAATTTAGGCTAGAGGTGAACGTTTGTCCAACAAATTTTACTTCCAACTTTCCTGAAACTGTCAAAAGATGTTCTGGATTTGTTCCTTTTTAAATGAGAGGTCCAGTCCTTAAAATCTACCATAAAATAGCCACCAGTTTTCATGCTTTTCTAACCCATTAATCAGGAATGTCAAATTGTGGATTTTAAAAAAACAACAACCTTGAAATTATCTCCATGTTGAATACATGCCCATTAAATATGGTGAGATTGTTCACTTTTGTGTCATGAGTGGCGTGATTGCCTAAAGAGTGATGTGACCACATCACTTACCAGTTGGAAGGTTGAGAGTTCAATCCTAGGCAGCGGCAGATGGCTATCAGAGCGGAAAGAGAAAATTTCTGCTGTGAACTCCGCATAGGCGTCAGGAAGGGAATCCAGCCAGTAAATGCTCAGCTCCACTCAGTCGCTCCGACCCCACCCTGAAGCAAGGGATTATACAGGTTTGTAAAAAGAAGAAGAAAAAATTATTTTGGGGGTCACAGAATAGGGAGAAATCCATTCCACCCACCTCCTTCCTATGACTCCTGCCAAGAAAGCTTTTCCAGGTGTCAACATTTGTTGCACCTGTACTGTCCTTTGCAAATTCAGATTGAAGTTTTCTCCAACCGAGCTGATAAAAATCTGGCTTCGGGTACATAATGAATGCATCAGTTCCATTTAACAGATAGGAGATCTTCCATGGCAAACAGCTAGAAATGTCTTTGTCCAGCTTAATTCCGGTGGATTTGTGTAATAGAAGGCACCGCTTTCTGCTGCCTGGTGCCACAGGTGTGCTTTCAGTGATTCTGTTCCACGCTGGCATATTGTGCTTCCACCATTCCTATTAAATATGATTTGGAAACAAACCCATCTAACGCCTGCCTGAGTCGCAAGAATATTGAATTGGTCAAGGTTCCGACAAGCCACCTTGAAATTGCAAGATAATCTCAGTCGGGGGGAGAAATTTCGGAGACGCCGTTTGCATTCCGATAAGCCCCTTGACTTCTCTGCGACTTTTCAAAGAGGGCTTACTGTTGTTGTCTTAGCAAATGCTTCACAAACAGCCGAGGGGAATGCTCCTGTGTCAACAGCCTAGGGAGGGCTTGCATAATGCATCCTACTTTGATTGACAAACTGCAGTGGCTGAGTTCGTGCACTCTGCAATGCTACAAACCGGCAATGGATTTGGCATGTGGCAGAACTGGGCAACCTCTGCCATGGGATAATTCGGTTGTTCCTTTGCTAGGGCAAACATCAAGATCGCTTGAAGTGTTAGTACGCTTTGTAAGGCCTTAGTAAGACCACGTTTAGTATATTCCATCCAGTGTCAGGATTCCGGCAGTGGCCCTATTGAAATCACGAGCTTCGAGTCAAGTTTCAAAAACGTCAAAGGATTTATTAGGAGTGAACACGCCAGTATGACCTGTGTGTAGCCGATTCTGAGACACGTAATTCACTATCACCCTTGACCCTGGTTTCCCCCCACCCCCTCTGGGTGTATCATAATTCATATTCTCCAGCGAAACATGTTCATAGCCAAATTATCAATCATGTTCTCCAGGATTGATTTGTGGGACAGAAACTCCAGTCGCTCAGTTATAATCTTTGCAAGATACGAATGGAATGCGCTTTCGATTCCAAACTGCTGTGCTGCTCTTTCAAATTCCTTCCCCCACTTTTCTGTTCACGGCAACTCTAAAATGGGCATAGACAAGTTTTATGAGTTAATATCCAGTTTGGGTCACCACAATATTAAAAAAAAAAGATTATTGAGACTTGAAAAATGTGTGGAGTTGAGCAACAAAGAGGATCAGAAGGAGTAGAGGCTAAAACCTATGAAGAACGGTTGCTGGAATTGGATGAATCAAGTGAAAAGAAGGACTTGGGAAGACATGGCAGCAGTCTTCCAATATCTGAGGGGTTGCCACAAAGAAGAGGGGGTGAAGTTATTTTCCAAAGCACCAGGAAGCAAAACAAGAAACAGTGGAAATAAACTAAAGAAAGACAAAAGCAACCTAGAACTAAGGAGGAATTCCCCCGATAGTGAAAGCAATTAATCAGAGGAATGGCTTGCCTTCAGGGGTTGTGGGTACTTCATCACTGACAGGTTTTAGGAAGAGATTGGATATTTGTCTGAAATGTTGTAGGGCTTAAGCAAGGGGATGGACTAGAAGACCTCCAAGGTCCCAACTCTGCTATTCTGTTAAATCGAGAACAGCTTCCACTGAAGACTTTGAGCCAGCTAAACAAGGAGACCAGGTTCTGTGTAGGTGTCAGATGGGTGGATAGTTCAGAGAGGCCACTGACAATCCAGAATGTGTTTGCAAAGCCTCTATTGACGGCTAGGGGGCAGCAGAGGTAAATATATGTCTAACTCCCTGAGGCCATCTTGCTTAATAGAGGAAACCGGCCTCATTTGTGGTTGGAAGCTGAGGTCTGCCTGTCATCAGGGGGTGGGATTCAAAAATCCCAGCAATTGGTTTGCTGCCCAGGGGGAAAGTATATCAGGGGGGTAGGGAGGAGTTGGAGCAAGAATGGGACCTCAACCCATCGCGTGACATGCAGGTCTCGAACCCGGACTGTCAGCA